TGTTTAACTTCTTATTTTACAGATTACTGTAGAACTTATATCACATCACAATGTTGAGCGCAGCTAAATATGTTGCACGTCGAGCTGCAGAGCAGTCGCTCCTTGTTAAACAAGATATAATATCTAAAGCTTTATGTCTTAGCCCATTTCAAACTCGGCAATCATCATCTAAAGGTGTCCAAGGTCATGTTATTGGAATTGATCTTGGTACAACCAATTCTTGTGTGGCTGTTATGGAAGGAAAACAACCCAGAGTAATTGAAAACTCTGAAGGATCAAGAACTACACCTTCAGTTGTGGCTTTCACTAAAGATGGAGAGAGGTTAGCTGGTACTCCTGCTAAAAGACAAGCCGTAACTAATACCCAAAACACTTTTTATGCTACTAAAAGGCTAATTGGTCGGCGTTATGACGAACCTGAAATACAAAAGGACTTAAAAAACTTGACATTTAAAATTGTAAAAGCTACTAATGGAGATGCTTGGGTGCAAGGTTCAGATGGCAAGATGTACTCTCCTAGTCAAATTGGAGCATTTGTCTTAATTAAAATGAAGGAAACAGCTGATTCTTTCTTGGGAACAAATGTTAAAAATGCTGTAATCACTGTTCCAGCATATTTCAACGACTCTCAGAGACAAGCTACTAAGGATGCTGGACAAATTGCAGGACTCAATGTCTTGCGTGTTATTAATGAACCTACTGCTGCAGCGTTAGCATATGGTATGGAGAAAGATAGTGATAAACTTATAGCTGTGTATGATTTAGGTGGTGGTACTTTTGATGTTTCTATATTGGAAAACCAAAAAGGTGTATTTGAGGTCAAATCAACTAATGGAGACACATTACTCGGTGGTGAAGATTTTGATAATTTGTTGGTTAATTATTTGATATCTGAATTCAAAAAAGAGCAAGGTGTTGATTTAAATAAAGATGCTATGGCTTTGCAACGTGTAAAAGAGGCTGCGGAAAAGGCAAAAGTTGAATTATCTTCTTCTCTTCAAACTGACATCAATTTACCATACATAACTGTTGATAGCTCTGGCCCAAAGCATTTAAACTTAAAATTAACTAGAGCCAAATTTGAAGGACTAGTTGGTGATTTGATTAAAAGAACGACAGGGCCATGTCAAAAAGCTGTAAAGGATGCCGAAATAAAACTTTCTGATATTTCTGACGTACTGTTGGTTGGTGGAATGACTCGAATGCCAAAGGTTCAGTCATTGGTTCAAGAAATATTTGGAAAACAGCCTAGTAAAGCTGTAAATCCGGATGAAGCTGTTGCTGTTGGAGCTGCAATTCAAGGTGGAGTGCTTTCTGGAAGTGTAACAGATGTTCTTTTGCTGGATGTCACTCCATTATCCCTTGGTATTGAAACAATGGGAGGTGTATTCACTAGCCTCATTTCACGTAATACAACCATTCCAACCAAGAAGAGTCAAGTTTTCTCTACAGCTGCTGACTCTCAGACTCAAGTAGAAATTAAAGTATTCCAAGGAGAAAGAGCGATCGCTGCTGATAATAAACCCCTCGGCCAGTTTTCATTGGTTGGAATTCCACCTGCACCTAGAGGTGTTCCACAAATAGAGGTCACGTTTGATATTGACGCTAATGGTATAGTTCATGTTTCTGCCCGTGACAAGGGTACTGGTCGTGAACAACAAATTTCTATCCAATCTTCTGGTGGTCTAAGTAAGGACGAAATAGAAAATATGGTGAAGAACGCTGAACAATATGCCCAACAAGATCAAGTTAAAAAGGACCGCGTTGAAGCCCTTAATCAAGCTGATTCTATTGTTAATGATACAGAAAGCAAATTAACAGAATACCAAGTACATATACCCGAAGAAGATGCCACCAATATTCGTGAATTAATAAAAGAAGTTAGAGAAAAAATAGCACAAGCACAGGCTGGTGAACAAGATCCTGAAGAATTAAAAGCTAGTACACAAAAATTACAGCAAGCCTCCTTGAAAATGTTTGAAGTAGCCTATAAGAAGATGGCTGCTAAACGTGAACAAGAAAATAGTGGTAATCAAAACCAAAGTGGAGATGGTCAGACAACCGAGCAAGAAACCAAAAAAGAACAATAATAAAGTTTCTAATAAGGTACTTAGTTGTCTCCAAATTGTAGTAGTTAAAATTACTATTTGTTTTTTATTCATAGTATGTAAATAATATTGTATATATTTATAATTATAATAATACACATTTTATATATAAAAATTGAATAAGTTATTATATAGAATATTTATCGTCATTGGTACTCTAATGATCACTATTTCTAGAACTTAATTTAAACTTTCTTGGAATTAATGGTTGACTAGAGAAAATCCAAAATGTTAATATATATTTATTGGAAGGTTGGTCTCACCTATGTGACGTGTATTAGAAATATTACATAAAATAATTATAAAATGTATGTTAATCTTAACTAAGCGCTATTCAGTAAAAAAACAAAGGTTTGTGTTAAAAATAGTTAAATATATGTGTGTAGGTACTGAATACCTGCCATCCGTCGGTATACTCTATTCCTTTTAGACTATTTTGAAAAATTTTAAAAATATGTAAAGTTCCTGTTAGTTTTAAATTAAAATGTATTAGCTATTAGGGATGACAATAGTTTGAGACATTTTACAGTACCTATTAGTACAAAATAATAAAATGTTTTTATAAACTCTGGTTAATTTTGTACAACCAACAAACATTTAAATTTCTTATCGGTACTTCAAAAACATGTGTCATCAGTAGTAAGCATAATCTAAATAGAACTTGAGAAACTTTAAACTTATTTTTTGTCAACTCAATATTGTCTATGGTTAAACATAAACTCCTTAACTTATGGCTAAGGTAAGTACATATAAATTTATTGGTATTCTTTATAATAGTAAATGTTCTGATGTTATTCATCTTGTATACTTCATTTAAAATACTAATGCCAGGTCGCATAAATTATTAATTAATTTAGTGAACCAATCATGTTTAAGGACCATTAGCTAGCTCACTGTTGATTCAATAAATTTTAACTGATAGTTCACGCAACCCGGCATAAATATACTATTTTATAGTTAATTTGTTGATACTCTAATGACATTTTGTAATGATTAATAAATTAACTTTTTACAGTAACTTAAATGTCTTGCTTTTGATGAAATAGTATAAAATTTGAATCCTACCACTCTAATATATAATATTATATTAAATAAACTAAGTTATTTAATATTATAATTATATATTTATAATATTATACATTTTAGCATGTGAGTCATTAAAATAAGTTAGTGGTCTACCCAAAAAACAAATTGTGCTGAGGTAACATGATATTTTGTTACTTAACGCCTCAGTATGCTAGAGAAGTGAATGTCCTGCTGCTGGTGAAGATGTGAACAATGTCATACAGATCTCAGTGAGGCATTTTGTGTTTGTTTGAAATGTAAAAAGTGTTAAACTTATCTTGCAATCATTTAATATTTGTCCTCAGACTAGACTACTGAAGTATAAATACCATAGAGTCCATGATATTATTTCTAAAGAAATACATATAGAATCGGCTAGGATTTAAGGGAAACAAACTTGTATCATCAAACTTCACCTTAAGTAAACACTAAGTAGAGCTGCCCAAATTAAATTTTGAATAGTCACCAATATAAAGTGTTTATAGAATATACTTATACTCTTGTATATGTCAGAAGTTAAGGCTTAGGCTTTAGAACGTGATAAGAAAACTCACATTTAGTGACATATATTAACCATTTTTAATAGTACCTATCGTTATGAACCTATATCGAAGTATTAGCAATAATTATTATTAGTATAGTACTTAATTTAATTTGTCTTGTAGACGTACACAACACTATGTAATCAAATGATATAATATTGGACATCTTCTAAATTGTATTAAATTAACTTTTGAAGTAACAATATTGAGAAAAGAGTTTGCGTTTCATTCATCTTAGTATTTAGTTAAACACGACCAATATATGTCAACCATAAGCCAGTGTCGAGTAGCTTGAAGTAATTTTTTAAATGTATACTATAAGCCTAACTGGTTCAAAAAGTTTAAAAATATTCACTAAAATTGTATTTGCATGGGTACTAAATTTACATCCGTCATTATAATTAGAGGCGTTCCAACACATAATAGATGTAAGGAACACTAATACATTTTTTCAACAGCATGCATGACCGAAAGAGTTTCAGGTTCAGATCTACGTGGTTTCAGTAAATTACTATCAAAATATAATACATAGAGCAGAGCTGTTAACCACTAAGGGCCAGTAAGTTGTACAGTCTGTGATTAAAGTTAATCACAGTTTAACCGGCCGAATTTGGCCGGTTAAATATCTGTTATCAGCTGATTAAGCGTAATCGGAGTTTAATCACAGACTGTACAACTGGCCCTAATCATTTCATTAATTAAATATATCATTTAAGAACTAGTTATAAAATAAATATGGGCATTATATTTAAACTTAGATCATATTATAATATAGATAGTCACATACTCATAGAAACAATTTGTGATGCCAATAAACAGTAGGACCGCAGTGATATGCGCATGCGCGTAGTTTCTCATCATTAAGTTTTGGCGCTGATATTAAATGAATAGGATAAAAATGTTTTCTTTAATTCTTGTTCCTATACTCTATTTTCTTTTAATACTTAATATTATGTATTATGAAACATAAAATATGTAATATTGTACTTTATTAAGATAAACTATTAACATTATGTTCTTAATCCTTATGCATAGTCATAAATATAAAATAATAATAAAACGGTACTTAGAAGTAGAAACTAGTGTAATATAACTAAAATGGTACTATATAGAGTAATAGGTACTACAAAGATATTACCTACCGATTTTTAAACAAAATTATTTTGGTGCATTTATGTCACACATTCTTGCCTGTCATTTAAAGTGAATGGATATTGGCTACATTAATTTTAATGATACATATGGCTCAATTATTAATTGTAATGATTGTTTTCGATTCAATTTATTTATTATTTATACGTTTATAATCATTAATCGATACAAATTAAAAAACATTTTGTAATTTTGTGTAATAACAGTGTTATGTGAATTCAGAATTAGTAATACCATAGAACAATACCTAAATTCGGTTAAATTCAATTTTAAGCGGGAAAGCAGATTTATATTTAATAAGCAGACATGAGTCCTAAATAGTTATGTTGGCTTCAATTCACTCCATAGGCGTGATCATGTTGAAATGTACGAGGTTATTGCATATATACCCCCCCTCAATCAAATATCCGATGATAAAAACAAAAATGGCAGCGTAAAGGGAGCCAATAATAATCAATTTTTATGCGAGCGTATTTTTCATGATAAGAAAAATTGATATTTGTAATTTGTGATATCCCTTTACGCAGCCATTTTGTTTCAGATGATAACAATCCGAGTCAATATGCAATAACCAGCTGTATATTTCAATCATGGGCGTGATGTGCTGTAACTCCATCCATTGTATAATAGAATATGATCTAAGTATTTAAATATGTAATTAGAACATATAAGATCTTCATTCCCGAGACTCGAGAGCCTATTGATAGGAGATAGTGAAGTGATAGACCCTGTTTTGAGTGATACCAGAGTTGCGCGAATTTTTTAACTAATGGGCTACCCACTCAGATAACTTTAATGGCGATAGCTAAGATACTGGCTTAAGAATCTTAGATAATTATCGGAAGGTAAAGAATTAACAGAGGAGAAAGCTTCTAAAATATACCAGTGCACTGCGCTGAAAAAAGAAAGGTAAGGAGACAGATTGGTGACTGTCTGTACATGCAGTTCAGGAAAAAAATCAGCATAACCCGCCCCTGGTGGCGAGACAAATCCTCCTGTGAAGACAAGGGGGGTCGACTTCATATTGTCCCCAAAAAATTACCTAAATATACCGTTTGTTGTACATGGGGACATTGAACGTAATTCGATTGAGGTGTATCTAAGGAAGCATTGAAGCAATAGTGTGTTTCACAAATTAGAGACTCGACTGTTGCGCGACGGCCTATAATCAGTATGGTTACTCAAAATGTCTGCTAAAAAGCGTGCGTAAATTGAACTGCCGCATACAGCGCTCACTAATTTCAAACCAACCGCGCTTTTGCAAGGTTTAAACGACATTGAAATCCAAATTTTTGACCACCAGTCGCGCTACAGTCGAGTCTCTAATTTCGTGTAGCACACTATAGGTGCTACCATCACTGGAGGTGTTTGGGACTTGGGTAAAGGCATCATGAGAGATATCATATGGAAGAAATTCGTGAACATTGTATTCATGTGTAAGAACCACGAAGAGTAATGGAGTGAATTTATAGGTAGGTATATAATTTCCATTTAGTGTTAACAGAGTTGAAGTATGGATGAATATTTCAATATAAATTGCACAATTAGGCAACGATATATAATGATAAGTGGAGAAAAGTAGAGATTTCCACATACGAAACAAGGTTGGGGTAGATTTAAACGCCCCAAGGGCCAAGACTGGTGTGTAGAAAGCTTGCCTATCTAAATTGTGTATTTTGTAACAATTAATTATTAAGCTGTTTGTTGTTAGTTTTTCATGGTAATTGAAACCAACTATTAGTCAGTTTTTTGGAGTAAAATATAACTATTAGTCGGTTATTCAAATCATTCGGTAGTGCCCATCACTAATTTTTGTTTTAGAATCAAAAAACAATATCCATACCTATTTGACTTAAGCTCGATTGACTGTAGACATGCGTTAAGGACGAAGGGTGGGAATCCCACCAGATTCCGAGTAGACATTAACAAATTAGCACATTTGCACATTTGTAGGTAACAGAGGATATGTGATATAATATATAAATGAGCTTTTTATCGTTCATTGCTATCCAAAATTAAGCCCAAATACGTAGCATCTGGCACCATTATGGTAGAATAAATTCTTGTTTTCAGACTGCTTTAAAAAAACCACAACATTGCATTAATTATGAGTAGCTAAGACCCTGGGTACCTACCTACTATATAGTAAATGAAAGTTACTTACATTATCCTCAAATATCAACAGTGAGTGATGAAGAAGATTCGACTCATGTCATGGTTGATATCTTTGTGGACGTAACGAAAGATCGAACATACATTTCCACAACAGTCAACGCCGATGATCCTATGCATGAGACAACTAAACCATCTAACATGTGATTTATGACTTAATGGATTTCTTTTGCAATTCAATTTTTTCTATTAGTAAATATACCATATTTTTAAGTATGATCTATTATACATATTGTAGGTTTTAATTTTTAAATACATTTTCATGTATGTGCACTTTGAATATTATTATACTCCTTTCGCGGAGACCAGGACCGTCTCGCGTATACGACTGATGGAAATGCGGGAGCTCCATCAAATAACCCCTCTTTACAAATAAAACTATTTTTTATACATAGTGAGTTCAAATATACGTTCGTGTCAGCCGTTATAATAATATGGTACGTATTATATCAATGATAATAATATAATAATATTCTAGTATAAATTACATACAAGTCATACAACACATTTTTTTGTATTAATTATTTAAAAAATAACACAAAACGTGCTCGAAAATCTGAATTGAAATCACTACAAAAAATGAAAAATCATGACACTGAATGCAGTATGCAATATGCATGTGTGGCATGTCCCGAATTCTGAGCAGCTGGTGGTCGGCTGGTGGAGCGTAGCTGTTACGAGTAAAAGTAGTGGGGATCGACGAGTTTTCGTCCGCCACGCAGTCCTGACTCCTGGTCTCTCGGCGAACAGAGTATAGGTATTTATTTAGTCTTCATAATCTTGACTCACAATTAAATATAAATCCAATTCGATAGAAAGATACCAACTCGACATTTTCATCCATCATTAATTTATGACAAAAAACTATAGTTTTAGTACGTTTTTGTAATGCAGTAAAATATTGTATAATATTATCCATTAGGTATATAATAAGGTAATATTGATATACATATTATTTTATTATGTTGTAACTTGTAATATTATTTGAAGTGTACCTACTTATAATTTATACAATTATACTGCATGGCCGCATGGGTAATGGGTACATCATATATTATGCATATTATGAAATGTGAATGCGTCGTTTTATTGAAAAATCCAACCAAGCATTATCCCTATTGTTAGACGGATTAAAGTGAGCATGCAATGAAAGAACAATTGTTTTGCATATTATTCGCTGTTAGAGAAATATTTAATCTTTATTTCTAGTGTTATATTTACATGGGCGCTCATAAGTAATAATTTAGAGAGGGTCAAAATAAAAAATTTCGGTAATAACTAATAAGGTAATATTGTGGTAATATTTATTGAGCTACATGTTCATAATATTTTTTTCCAGGGGGGGGGGCAAGTACCCTGTCTTGCCCCCCCCACAATGGACGCCCATGTATACTTACCTATACATAGTTACATTAATGGCATACAGATACTCACCAAACCTTCTCACTGTAATTGAACTAATTTTGGTTAGATTTACTGAAATGTACATACACATAAGTCATACCTACAGTCTCACCATACATAAACATGTACATATCATGACCAAAGGATGTAGTAAATTATACCAAACTTATACAGTTGAACTAAAACAATTCAATTGTTCTACTTTGAAAGTAAGGTAGGTAGGTAACTACAGGTAAGTAATATAGTTGAAGTTCCTAAAGGCTAAAAGTATACGTAAGAAAAAAAGGGTTCTTAATAAAATAAGGGATTTAATACATTTTAACAAATTGTAAATGATGAAAATTTAATTCTAGTATAGGTACAAGATACACAATACACATAAATATTATTTAAAATAACCTAATCAACCAAAATCGTTCAGATATTGAATATCATGTTTAAACCCTCAACTTAAACTCTCACATGTAATTTTACCATAGACATATATTATAATTTGTAATATTATTTATCTATCATACGTCTGAATTTTACCATTTTTAATTGTATTGTATGTAAAAAGATGATATAATATCTACTAAATTGATGAACTGTTTGAAGCTTATATTTATCTCATTATCTGTAATTATTATAAAATAAATAAATAAATAATTAACCTCTGAAATAGTAATACCTATTGAGGAAGAGAACCTACGCTCTTCTGCAATCTTTCTTTTATTCAGCAATCTATTAACTATAAATGTTTCAGTCATAGTTCATAGACGGTTGCTTGAAATAATTGTTACTGGTTCAACACATTTTTAAAAAATTGTCCTTTAATTTTTTTTTTAATTTAAATACACGCTTAATATTTAGGTAAGTAAACATATTTTATTAGGGTAGTATTTAGTACCTACATATATCTTGTGTTAAAGATACTTCTAAACTTCTTAATGCTAAACATGTCTTAATGTAATTGGTGGACCACCTTTCCCCACCAAGAGAGATAGTGTTAAGGGTGAACTAATGTACTATGTACGACAGTTGGTTAAAGACCTGCATTGGAGAGTATTCTCGTTCAGGTTATTCTGAAGCCAGATCGTATTTTTTTGTATTTAGTCAAAAATATACATGCTAACCTATTTAATCATTAGAGTTGTGTAATTATTTAGTAATTAGTCATAGTAATTTAGCAATTTCACTATTTATAGAAATTCAAAGGAAAGATAGTTAACACTAGGTTTATGTATATTTACTAACATAAAGGGTTCCAGTTTCAGATAACCTAGTTTATAGGTCTATAGTTTCAGTAAATAATGGTACAAAATATACATATAACACAAGTTATGTCATCAATTCGAAAAAAAACATTCTAGCATAGGTATTTATGAAAAAATAAAAATAAATATTTTATATAAAGATTGTAAATAGAACATACCAGTTTAATTTGACAAACTTTTTTTTCAAATAAGAGAAAAATGTAAAAACTTTTACAATGCTAAAATATGAAAATTAATTTTATAATAGTTATTTATTTTTTTTATTGTGACTTTATCAACTACATATTATGATTATTAGCCTAGTAATAGTATTATTACTTTATTGTAAGATATACACAATCAGTCAAAATATATTAAATATTATACAATTTTACCTTATAAAAATAACGTTTTACCTTAATTTAACACAATAAAAATATATATCTACTTAAATTCTTAAACCAAATATTTTTAATTATAATAAGGGTTCTAGGTATTTACTAGATATACCTAATTTATAATTAGTGGGAATACAAGTAGAATAAGACATATTTATGTGTTATACCCACCCTTATTATTTGTATTAGTGCATTTACCACACTATATACATTTTGTAAAAAATAATTTCAGCTTATTTAAAGAAAGTTACTCTAATGGCTAATAACTAGGGTTCGGAACTTAATGCACTTAAAAAGTACTAAATATGCATGCTCTTATGTGCTTAAAAAAGAACAAATATGCTCTAAAAATATGCAATAATATTTTATTTCTCAAAATTTTCATTTGCAGAAATATTTTATAAAATTATGAATATGGAAAAAGTAAAGTAATAAAAATTATTTTTATTTTTATTTTTTAATCATAATTTAAACAACAACAAAATTATATAAAATGCCTCCACAATGTTCCTTGGATAAAATAAATACGTATAAGTCGGAACTGACAATAATATCTCGGCAGTAAGTCTATTAATGCCATCAGCCCATCAACAATAATCATTGAATTATTTCCCTAGAAAAGTATTTTTAGAAAATCTTCTCTTGATATTCAAAAGTATCAAAAAAAATGGGAGTAGGTACCTAAATATTTAAATGTCTTATTGATAAGAATATAATTTAAAGGGATACAAATAAATATTTTTTAAAAACAAGAGAAACTCCATCACCTAGCATCACTTCTCAAATTAATGACTGCCACACTGGTTATAATTTATAAGTATCGTAGACTGATGTGAATAGATTTGTAGCATAAAAAGGGAACCTAACCAGAAAAGTATTTTATGTAGAAATTGAAAAAAAAGAATTTATCATAACACAACATTTCTTAAGCATTTTCTGCATAGGAGAGTACTTTTTGCATTTCTGATAGGTGTTGCAAACGAGCAGTAATTGTAGGAGATGATACTGGATCGATACTTGATTATACCACATTAACAAGTAACATTCCTATTTTTATTATCTCAAAATTACTGAAATTTATCGTAATCTACTTAACAAACGAGAGTATTATCTGATTGGATAGAAAAAAATCAAGTGTTTTAACAGTCAGTTTTTACATTGACTAGTATAGGACATGTTTAGGAACCGGTAGAAAACAGAGTTTTATGCAGGAAAGCGTCTTAAGCGAGTTTTACTATAGTACAGAATAAAGTGAATTACTATACTATTATTTTAGAGAATTCCTCTACAAGGCCTAATTCTGTTGTATCCTACTTAGGTCACAAAAATATAACTATGCTACCCAATGCTTGAACATGATTTATTTGTTAATTCATAATTGTTTAAAATAAAAACCCCCATTCAAATAAAATTGCTTGCCTAATAAAATAAATAATAACCTGACAATACTAATGTATTTTCACTTGATATTTGATTTTAGGTCTACATCTAGACCGTAGGTTAACTTGGGCAACTCACACCCACAACAAAAGACTTGCCTTGAATAATCCAACTACGTTATCTTCCACATCACAACACATCAACTTAAAAAACAAGCTACTATTATACAAACTCCTACTCAAACTGATCTGGACATACAGTATCTAACCCTGGGGTGCAGCCAAAAAGTCCAAGTTAAACAAAATCCAAGTCTTCCAATCAAAATGTCTCCGCCAAATAATCAAAGCCACCTACTATGTATCTAACAACACTCTACATAGAGATCTAGCCATTCCAACAGTCCAAAACGTGACAAAAACTTTCTCCAAGCACATACACTCCAAGCTCCACAGCCATCGTAATCTCCTGATTTCCGAGCTATCTACCAACTCTATTCCTGGTGACCCCAGAAGGCGTCTTAAACGTACCTGGTGTCGTAACCTTCTTAAATAAAATTGTATATATCTCTACCCCCCCTTAATTTTGTATTCAATCTCACTCTCTCTTGCTAGCACAGTAAAATAAACTCCTAACCTTAAGTGCCTCCAATGGGCGGCTTCTTATCTCCTGCCACTCAAGTCATGTCACCTCCATCACATACACTTATTGTATAATAATATTTACAGATTGTGTATTTTAATAGTAAATGATAAAAAAAAATAAATAAATAAAATATTTGATTTTAACAGTTTTTAATATTTAAATGACTTAGATCTTAGATATAAAATTGGATGTGTTTTATTAATAAATAGGTAGTCGTACATTTTGTACTATATTATACATTTAATATATTTAAAAAACTTTTTTAATTAATATTAATTTAAATACTGTTTTATTGAACATTTAGTTGTAGCTTCTGGATTGTAATCATATGAAATCTTTGTTTATTCAGTTGTAATTTTAATTACTTTCATATCCAAATATCTAGTTTTTAATAGAATCTTGGCTACATCCCAAATAAAGTACACCATATCCATTTAATATTGTTGATAACTGATCTGTAACATACAAGGTTATATTATATTTTACATATTATATTTTATATATTTCATTAATATTTTGATTACCTTAAATAAAATATTTATTTTAGGACCTCTATTAAAATTTGAGTAATGAAAATTAAATATATTACATTTAAGGGATGGGTAAACTACTGGAATCATGATAAGCTAAAGTAAAATATTATCTTAAATAAAAATAGTGAAGACAACTATATGTAAGTAAAGCACATATTATATATATATATATATATTTAATAAACATAATAAATCTATTAACATTGTTAATATAGGTTAATAATTAATATAATCACCAGGATGGGCCATTGCTGATTTTATTTCATTCTCATTATTTTCAACAATTTTCATCAAACTTTCTTCCAAAGTATTTATATAGATACTATTAATTGTCCATGAATCATCTTTGTGAATCGTAGATGTAAATGAATTACAATGGAAATATTTTTGACAGTTATGATTTATATGACTTAATATTATATGAATAAATTTGACATATGATCTAACACAATAATAGGGGAACCAACATCTAAAAATAATATATGCATGTTATTAAGTAGGTATCAAAAGAAAATAATTGAGTAAAATAAAATACCTGACTGAACGTTGTATATCATAACATGTTACATTCTCTGTAGCAGAATTTTTTATAGCTAAATATATTAAATGAATCCAATGTAATGGTGGACACACCTACAATTTTCATGTAATAAATATTTGTATTTAAAATTATTACACAATGACACTTAATAATAATAATAATAATAAAACAAGTAACTAGGTTTATTATGTATTTTGAAATACGTTGGGATCAGTTTAATTTTTATTAAGATGTTAGATGACTTCTGGTAATACATATCAGGTATAAGTTAATACATAGGTAATATGTGAAAAAATTCAAAAAGTAAATAATACAATATAACTTTTAAGACTTTAAGAGGTAACTAATGAAATAGCTAAACCATATAACAATGTATATGAGATCACTGTTCTTTCTTTCAAGTTTTAATTTGTGAGTAGGCCCAGATTAAGATCTATTGTGCACAAAAGCTATGAAAAATGTAGTGCCTCCATTTTACCACCTGTTCGTTAAAATATATTTTAATATTTAAATTGTATTGATTATTTACTATAATAATATTCAAAAAACTCATAATTATTCATTTTGAATAAATAATATAAAAAATATTTTTAAAATGGACATAATATACAAACAAAAAGTAAAACAATAAAAATGTAATTAATTTAAGAAGACACATGGAATTTATTTTATTTTAAATAGGTATATAATACATTTGTTGATCCCACTATACTATTATTCTGAGCAATGTAAGTAAATGTAATTAAACAGTTCAACCACATAGTTCTAGGTAGGTATGGATCACAGATTAAGATTCCAATATTTCATTTTAGTTTGTGTCTTCTATCAGCACCATAACCACTTGTACTAAATTAAATATTATTTTTATTGTGAATTGAAAATAATATTATTTAACAAAAATATTGTAATTGTTGCTTCAGAACCATAGTAAGTTAATCATGTTTTTGTAGGCTGTAGCAGTGCAGCATATACTTCTTACGCCTTATCTGGCACTGCTTGTTAGCATTATAATTACAAGGAATATAAATATAAACATTTTATGCAACAAAATCTTAGTTAAAATTGGTCCCTCCTCCCTTTTTCATGAAAATATCAATTCTACTTGGACTCAAAAACATATTTGAGAACATGACACATTGTCACCCCAGGTACACAATGAAGTAGAGCCTCATTTTCATTGATGTGTAACACTGAGCCACAGAGGTCTTCTCTTATATGTATGATAGAAACATCTCAAAATTTAAAAATATATTAGACGGTGGGTGGGCCATAACTCAGATATGTTGCAAACAAACCATGATATAACATACTAAAACCCCGACTGCACTTCAAATTAGGCCTCAATTGTAGTTATCATTGGGACACAACTAGTATTCAGCCAACATTTTACTTTTGATATTCATTTAGTATATTTTATTTTATTTTCATAAATATTTTATTAATAGGGTACAATATGTTAAACTGTAAAATGATAAGTATAACATAATTATTATACTAAAAATATAAATTCGTTATCAGAATTAGGTACTTTGAGACTCAAGCATAGGCACCCCTTTATAGGACTCAGAATTTAGCATCTGGGACAATGACTCAACCGAGACCTCCCTAAAAACACCACTGCTTGTAATAGTCACTATATATTATACCATATCACAGTAGTTAAAAATAATATGTATGTATTGATAATTTATAATTACATTTTTTGTAGATGTATCTGTTGTTGTGAATTCAGTATTATTATAGGAAGGACATGCTTTTCTCACTAACAGTGAATTGCTTAAATGTAATGATGATGAGCTCAATAAATAATTTTGCAAATTATCATCATTTAAATTTATTCTTCTTATATTCATTGGAGTATTTGATAATAGATCATTATGCTTAAAAGTTTTTTTAACCATAAATTTCATACGTGGCTGATTACATGTTTGAACTTCTGTGTCTAGAAAAGAGATTTCAATTTTCAAATTTATATTTTATAAAAGTTTAATATATTTATGTAGACAGCTACCATTTAAAATATTTTGATTTTGTATAACGGTTGCATCATTAGCTAATGGAACTATTTGCATTATTTTACTTTGTTTTCCATCATTGATTAAATGATTTTCACCTAATATATTACTTGAACCATTAGAAATATTTAACAAATCATGATTATTTGTATTATTTAATTCCTTATACATTTGGTCTTCATTAAATGGTAACAAATCATTTGTGCATTTCTTATTCTCATACTAGAATTGGAAACGATAAATAATAATTATGGTATATGTACATAAAACATAATTTAAGAAAATCTCACCTCATGTAGTAGTAAGTCTTTTTTAAGTTCTTTTTTTAATATATAAGAAAGAGGCATATCTTCAGTATCATCCTCTTCATCACTTGAACTTCTGGCCATATACCAATCTGGTATAGAATCATAATTATTATAATCATTAATTATTTTCATTTCAGTATGATTTGATTTTTCAATTTCATCCGGCCATCGGCATTTTTTTTTTTCATAATCATAAAAATAATTGTGTTCATGCATCACATTATAACCGCTCCTTGTATTTAGTTTAGAATTTTTGGTTGTATCATAAGATTTTTCTTCAGGTATTTTTCTTTTTGTCATAATTTTTTTCTTTTAAAATAATTTTTATATTTGGATTTCAAATCATTTTTTAGCAAGATTTGTCAAAGTCTTAATGTATTTTTCATTATTTGTTTATAAGTTACAAGATAATGATATAATTTTTTACCTGTTTCTTTAATTGATATGCTGAAATAAACCATAATAGGTTATTCTATTGCAATACCTGCATAACTATACTATATTCATATTCATATTCAAATTGAATTGTTTATCATTTCTTGACAAATGTTGATCTTAAATTTTAGATTCTTGAAAACTTTCTAACTGAAAAAATGTATTAACAATTACATAAAAATTAATACTATACTAAATAAATCAAGTTTAATACTTTACTTAAACATTTTTACTATAGGTGAACATTTGGGGCACTGTTGGGGTATTGAATATCAGTTTAAATTAAATTTGATATTCCTGAAAAAAAAATCAAGTAAGCTAATAAAAAATATTTATTTCTGATATAGACATCATCATTCTAATAACAAAAATGTTTTTTTTTTAATTTGATTCATTATACTATCTAAACTTATCATAGTATCGATATTGGGTTTCATTATAAGGTATAACATCTGTCTGTATACTATAATGTATTAATCTTTAACTGTTAAATATTGGTTTATTAGAAAACAAAAATTGTCATTATATAATATAAAATGTGATAAAAGAGTAAAATTTTAATTGCGTAAGTAATAAAAACTTAATCAATACTATGATTTAAAAATATGGACAACTACAATATTTAATATAATTTGATATGCATGCAACTCCTATGCTGCTGTCTAAACATATATCACAGGAAATTAGAGTTTAGGATAACTTAGGTATATTGTGTTGTTGACTTTAATATAAAAGTAAATGTACTAACTATCATCAAAAATATAGGTAAAAACATTATCTGTGAAAAGACTTTGAATTTTTATTTCCATTTTTAAACGAGTTTTGAGTACTTCTATAAAATATAAAAAATGCTTACAACTTCAAATGCAGATCATGTCTTAACTCCAAATTTTGAGAATAAGCCGAACAACCAAACAAAATTGGTACTGCTAAACGCAATTTTTCTGTGGTGATGTTTTTAATAATTTTAATAATTATAATCAATTATATATTATTGTGTACCTACAGTTAATGAGGATTTATAATTTGTATATTGTATAATCACTAGCTTATAGTTATTTCTATATTATATGTGCAACTGTGCAAGCATATTATGTATAAATTGGGCCAATAAAATAAATGATTTGATATAATTTTAATGCCACATTAATTATCATTATAATAAGATAGGAACTTTTAGTTTTAGTTTTTTTTCATTAATTAATTTTTTTATGGATTTGAATCCTTCATATTTTATGATTATTTATTATTTATTATTTATTTTATTTTATTATGATGATATTATTTATAAAAAACATTTAATTTCGAGACCCTACTCTAAAGCTATGGAAGATACAGTAAACATTAAAAGTCGAACAAAAAGAATGATCAAATTAATTAAGTGTTACATCGAGAAAAAAAAGATTAAATGCATTTATTAATATTAATAAATTATTTAAGTAAAAGTCCCTTACAACTTTTGTTGAAATAGAAATCATATTTATTACAAATGTGAAAACAGTAACGCAGGTACCATTAATCATCTTCCAAATTTATAGATAAAATGGTAAATTTCTTTATTTATTTTTTTTAAATCAAGAGATAGTCACTCTTATGGTAAATATAATTAAAATAACACATAATATTAACTATAAATTAAAAATTAGACACATCACACATCTTAATCAGGAATATAATCAAAAGAAAAATACGAAAAATCAAAAATTATATTTTATATTTTTTTGATAAATGAGTTTAATTAGTAATTTAAGTTACCGATTCAAATATAAAATTAGATAAATTATTCAATTAATCCAATAAAATACGTCAAGAAAATTAATAGTAAATTGTTTTTACTGGAAAACATCTAAAAATATGTACAGTGAATATAACTGCATCGGCGTAGAGTGGGGGAGGAGACTGAGTAGGTTATAGCACCTAGGCCATACCCCCTGTATTATTTTGAAGAGTTAAACCCCTTCAAAATTAGCAAGATGTTCAGATAGCGTCGTCGTTACCCCAAGGAAAAAAATGCTATAGCTTCCCCATATAAATTCATCACTCTAGACCTATGGGTACCTAAAAGATAACTTTTAAAAAAATAAATAAATTGTATGCTTGTGATGTTATCATGAGTAGACCACAAACTTAGATAGAATGGACTGGAAACGAAAGCATAAGCACCAGGCCACTTAAGAGGACGCTACACCCGAATATGTTGTCTCCGTCTTACAAATGTAAAACTTAGCAAAAACTGTTTTGAAAAGAAAGAAAGACCTCTGAAAGAACCGAAGATTACAGTCATAACTAACAAACGAAATTTTCACCCCATAAAAAGGAGAACTTTGGCTGTGAAATATCGTTTTTATTTGTTCGATATCAGAACCACAAAAAAAGTTATTCAAGTTTGAAAAACACAAAAATAATGAATTTTGAATTTTGAATAGTATAAGTGATATCAAAAAAATAAAAATGATATTTCACAGGAAATGTTCTCAGTTATATTGTATATAAATTTGGAGACTTAATTACCACTACGACCTGAGTGGTTCTATCATTCACTAAACAGTTTTTGCTATGTTGTAAATTTGTAAGAAGGAGACAACACATGCGGGAATAGTATCCTCATAATTAACCTTTTTAAAAATAACTTATTATTTATTTAAACTTTAACTTAGATTATGAATATTATAACACATTTTCGTTTTCAATTGTTAATATTTTAGTAGGTATTTCTGTAGGGTCATTTTATGGTTATGAGTAGGCTTATGAGGAGAGAAATAAATGCAAGTGCGAATCTAGCGCTACCTATATTCATCACCTAGTTCCAGTATAAATATAGGTAGCGCTAGATTCGCACTTGCAACAATTTCCCCCGCACAAGCCCACTCATAACCTTATAAAGTTCGGCTCCCCACACGATTTAAGATAGTATAGTTCCTCCATAGAGTAATGATAACGTGTCTACCGAAATCACTATTAAAAACAGCTGGAAAATTCACCACTAGCATTTGAATGTAATAGTGGCGATAAACTCAAATACCGCGCTGGCTGCTGGTGCGCTGTAAATCCTGCTTCTATATCGGCACACATCATGTCGCAAGCGCTAGTGGTGATTATTCCAGCTATTTTGGTTATTTAATTTGGTTGTCACTTCAAAACGAACTTATCATAAGTGGTCGAGCAACCATACTATCTTAAATCGTGGGTCCCCGTCACCCGCCTACATGTCGCTTTCAGTCAATTATGTCGAAGTACATGAAGGAAATCAAACTCCACTTCTGTTAAAGTCTCGAAATAAGTTGCACGATTAAACAGCCACAGGCCATGGTCGCCATATGTCTCTAGGTTGCTACTCCAAAGGATTATTTGTTTTTTTAAAAATATATAAGCTTTTTAAAATGACAATTTGAAAATTGTACAAGCTGTACTATTATGCATTTATACATGTGCATTGTGCATATGTGTATACTTGATAAACATTCAAAATGACACAAGTGTATGGTGTATCGTATAGTATCGACCTCATACTTGTTGTAAAAGTGTGAACACAGATATATAAATATAATTTGTATAGTTTAATTATTTACACAATAATAAAAAATGTTTTAATGAAATGTACTCATATACACATGTAAAAATAAGTAGATAATTGTACAAGATAAACAATTTTTAAAGGGTTATGGTTCAAAATAATGCATAAACATATTTTCCAAAAAACGTTTAAAAATGTAAAATGTCTATTAGCGATAGAAAGCTTTTCAATTTTTAGGCAGGCGAGGAGTGGTATATAATGGGGCTTGAGGAAAAATAACATATACATTATACACGGCGACCCCGTACAGCTTATCACTTTCTATCGCAAATAGTACATACTAGAGTAACAACCCTAACGACTGCAGCGCAGCCTGTGGCCATTTAATTGTGGGACTCATTATGGAACGTGTGGGCAGCTATAGATAATATAAGAACGGATGGGCCATATTGTAAATACAAGCAACGCAGTAGTGGGTAGCGGCGCTACCAATTACGTGATTACGTATAAAAGAGAAAGACGGTCCCTCAATTCCTACGGGGGGCGTTTGTTATGTTATGTACATGTGTATTGTAGTAATCTCCAATAATTGTTCAATTAATTCCCATAGATAAGGTTAGGGTAATAATTCCACACCCTATCAATTCTTCCAATAGGAATTTGATCTTCTTGTTAATCAGTCTTCATGGATGTTAATATAATTTACTACCAACATAACTTCCAACAATAATAATGAGATAATATTTTGAACAAAATAATACAATCTGATGTTGCTACGACAATAGAATATTCGTAATACACGTAAATTATTTATATAATTTAAACAACGAAGCATAGGTATACAATTACATATTATTGAAATGAAAATAAATAAAAATGTTCAAAATTGTTTGCCATCCCTGTTTCCAATATCAACGTTAGTAAAGTTCCGATAAGATAAATATTAACAAATATCAAAAGACTTCTGAATTGCAGTGCACAAGTTTAGAGTATAGGTAAATATGAAAAGTAACAAAAATGGAGATTATCAACAAAATGTTAAAAACAATAATAATATAATTAAAAAAACCTTACCTTATCAATATACTAGTTTTTTAGATCAATAATATTGCGACATATGAAATCTAGTTCGAATTTTTGACAACAAGCCTCACATAATATCAAGTATATTAACAATTCATAAACAACAATGGATTTTTTTCAATTGATAATTTTTAGAAAACAATTTATAAAAAGAATCGTTTTGTAAGCTTTTTAGTAAAAATCACACTTACAATGATAATAATATGATAGTCTTATCATGAATCATGACGTATGGCATTAAACATAATTGTTACCAACCTACAAAGATATTATGTTAGGTTATAATTTAATTGCACCAATTTTTATAGCTAATAGGTAAAATATAAAGCCATTAAAAATACGAAATATAACTAAAAATTATATTTATCAATTATGCTTTTAAGAAAATACACTACTAATAAATAAAATATTTAAATCTAAATAAATATCAATTTGATTAAATTTATACATGTTTATAACTATTCCATGGTTTCAATTATACGTGATTATACATTTTGTTCTTTAATCCATGGATAAATAACTAAAGTAGCTAAAGTTATTTAGCCATGGATTAATCTATATCATGGAGTAGTATATTATGTTACTCAATGAACTGTACGTATGTAGTACGCATAATTTAACAATTTAATTTACCATGTACTGTATGATGTAAAGAGTATATATATATTAAACATATTAATATATTTTAACAGTCATCACTTATTTCCTATGTTATTTTATCAATGTATGGCTCAAGGAAAAATAATTAGCATATTTGCTTAATTATGACAAACTTTGTTAAAGTTTGAACTTTTATATAGGTAAGCTTGTAAAACCAAAGTGATTATACCTATATATATTTTGGAACAAATGCACTTTACCACCGCCCTCAAAATTTTCGATTTTGTTTTGGAACGTACTTACATTAATTATTTAAGAACGATGGTGCAATCAGACTTTGTTGGTCCGACTTCGTTTCGAAGTTATGGTCTTTAGAAGTCAGCGTTTTTGCGTTCTTACGCATGAGTGCAACGCTGCGGTTATCACGTCTTTTATGACTCATTTAATTTTTTGTCTTGAAACTTGCGTATATTAATGAGTTAAGAACGCTGGTGCTGTCAGAATTTATTTTTCGGACTTAGTTTCGAATTAGTGAATTTTGGAAATTTGAAATATTGCGTTTTTTATACATACCCACAACGCTATATAGTGATTACACAGTTAGTGGCACTCGTCGCTGCGCTCGGCGCCGTCGCTACGCTCCCAAAAATATCCCTCGAGTTGCTATGTAATACCTTTAGGTATTAGGTGGTATTAACCTAAAGTAGGTCACAATTCAAAAGTTAAGATATGTCGTAGTATATGGGAATTCTGACTGCAACATCGTTTTTCACTCGTTAGTCATTAATATGTAAGTTTCAAAAAAAAAATCAAAAGAATCGTAAAAGACGTGATGAACGCAGCGTTGCGCTCATGCGCAAAGAACGCAAAATTGCCAACTTCCAAAGCCCATAACTACGAAACTAAGTCCGACCGACAAATTCTGATTGCACTATCGTTCATAAATAGTTAATATAAGTATGTTCAAAAAAAAAAATCGAAAATGTTGTATGGGGTGGTAATGTGCATTTTAGCCCATATTTTATAATCTTTAATTTGGTAAGAACACGTTACAACTATTATGAGAATTTTCTATTCAATTTTTAATCTTTTTTACTCATAGACAAAAATGTTCTCATACATAAATAAAATTCATCAAAATCATGAATATGTATAAATAATTTGGTATAGTTGAAAATGTATAAAATGTTCAATTTTTATGGACTAGGATTGAAAAATGAAACATAAGGTATAAGTTGTTCATATTGTAACCAAAAATCTAAATAATATAAAAACACTGTTTTTTTATAGATATTATAAGTTCAAATTTGGAAAAAATTAGATATTTTAACAAAGAAAAATAATTTAAGTTATTTTGTTGTAATTTAAAAATATTATTCATGGTATTGGAAGCATTTAAAGTACCTACCTACCTATAATATAATATTTTATACAAGCAGTGGCGTTTTCAAATGCAATGTTTTCGACAGCAATTTATTCAACCTAAAGTATTATTAATAGTATCATGGTTTCTTTGGTTATTTAATACTATTTCGTTCTGACCTTACAAAAAATTAAAGAAAAACAGGAATTTTTACTTAAAACCAGATTTCGAAAAAATCGATTTTGGTTTTTAGTGTTACTCTAAGAAAATGACCATAGATACATGCGATTTTCACTGAATGTTTGTGTTATATAGCATTTTCTATACACCATGCAATTTTCAAAATATTTTGACTCGTGTTGAACTATTTATGGGCCTATGAAATGTTCGATTATTATTTGTTTTTTTTAACTCCTGTCGATAAAAAATGTTTCGCTCGGTCAAAAAACTGTAAATACAAGGTTCCTCGTAAGTTGTTGTTAAAAACAACGTGTATATTTCAAAAAAGTTGCGGGTAAATCCATAATAATTTTTTATAAGCGTTTAAACTTAGAATTTTGACAAAGTTCATAAAAGTCACGAAAATTAGCAAATTATATTTCGGAATACATACAAATTTTTATTTTTACATCTAAGATTTAAAAATTTAACAAAGACATTGGACATTCACTCGATTTCTCATGTAGCGATTTTCTTATTTTGTTGTAATTCAAAAACGAATTACTGTAGACATTTGAAATTTACATCAAATGCTTGTTTCATCAATTCATACACTTGATAAAATTTCTGACTTCGATCAAAATATTTTGACTCGTTTTAAGCTGCTGGCGGACATTTTTCATTTTCATTTTTTTTCATTCTTTTTTTAAATAAATGTCAATAAAATGTTATTGGTTGGGTCAAAAAGCATGACAATTTAATACAAAACACTTGATAACTTGTTACAACGGTAGTTGAAAATAAATAAAATACATATAGGTACACTTTTTTTTTATAAGGATTTAAAGTTCAAATGTTGACATCATTCATCAAATTGAAAAATGAAAAATGATTTTGTAGTTAAAAATGTAAAAAATATTCAATTTGTATAGCTAAGGATTGAAATTTTTAAACAAGGTTCCACTTGAGCAGTTTTTCCGGAAAAATCTAAAAAATATTTGAACGCGGGTATTTTTTGCAAACATTTTAAGTTGAAATTTATACAAAATTACATATTAACACAAATTTGTAAATATTTTAATAGGTTAGTTCACGCTTACATTAAACATAACTAAGTTAAATAACTATTCAGAACGTCATATAATTTTCTGTTACGCGTTTAGAAGCGAGAGACAACGCTTACTGATATGGCATCCTCTTAATCAAAAAGAAAAATACTTTAATTTAGTACTATTAATTAATTAAATTTCTAATATCAAATAATTTTAATCATTTCTATGAAAACTCTGTACAGAATTATAGTGAACATTTTTTCGAAAATCCAAATATCAAAAAAAAAAAATTAAAAATTTTTTTTTTTTAAATATTTTCATTTCTTATTTTCAGAAACTCAATTTTTCCATTATGTTAGTCTATATTGTATTGCAGTGCCAATAATAGTTTCATTTTTCAAGATGTATCTACGGAAATTCAAAATTACTTGCAGACGTTCAGTATAGTATACTAATTAAAATTATGAACTCGGAGTCTCGGTAAATGGTTAAAATTGTTTTTTGGTTTACCGATAATTCACGATGAGTGTGGTAGATATCTATACTCTAATAAGCCAATTTAAAACTTGAGTGCACTAATGCAAAGATTTAAATTTGCCGCCAATATTCAAAATTATGGTTTTTTTGGTCTTGCACTAATATTTGAACTAAAACATGATGTTTTAGTGTATTAATATGATTGGCATGCGCTAATATAAAATTCAAAAATAGACTCCCATATCTGGAAGTTGAAGATGCATTTGTAGAGCTTATGGAAATATGCCCAAGGGCCAAGATCAATAATTGGAAATATATTTTCTGACTACATTTTAATGTCTTATAAAATGACATAGGTATAGGAGATTAACAATGTATGTATTGTTAAATTTTTGGGCAAAAATTAAACATATTTTAATATTTACTATTAAGTATTTTGTAACATTATAATTTTTATATATTTACCTTTTTAAATTTATTTTTCAATAATATTTTTCTTAGTCATGAAATTTAAAAAAATCTAATATTAATTGAACATACTATTAGCATAATATTTAAATATTTCAGCATATTTTCTGGTAGAAAAGTGAATTTAGTTTATACTTGGGGGGAGGGGGACACACACTCAAAAGTAAACATTTCTCATTAGTCTTGACAAGCCATCTCGAAAAAAACAAAAAAAAATACTAAAAAAAACGGAGAATTTAACGCAAAACCAGTTTTTGACCAAATCGGTTGGGTGTACTTTAAAAATAATTTCCGTGAATTCATGAAATGTTCACCAAGTATTAAAATTAGCATTTTTATAGGATCACCATCAAATTTCATAAAAAATTAATGAATAATGTTTATTAATGACAGTTTTTGAGAAATAACTATGAATATTTATTGGTATAAGAAAATGTCTTTTTTTTATAAGCTTTTATTTAACTATTGTCGACAATAAAATGTTCTCTCAGTCAATAAATTTGAAAATTGAATACAAGATTCCTCATATGAATTTTTGTTAGTAAAAAGTTTAAAAAAATTGAGCTTAAATCCACAATATTTTGAAAATTGATATTGGAATTTTGACGGAACTTGACGAGTGATTCTTGAAATCCTAAGAAATTTTATTTTTATGTTTAAACCCCTTCGTGCATAGAGTACCACAAATAAGTTTCTCTTTTTAGTGGAAATCTTTGAAAATGTTGTAACTTTTTTCAACTTTATTGCATAGATGGCCAGATTTTGCAGAACAAAGATAGCTATTTTTATTTTATTGCATGGTTAGGTAATATAGATGTCTAGCTGTAAAATTATGAATCAAATGTGAAAAATAAACAACTACTGAAAACATAATTGTTGTGCAGAGAGATTACCACTCTTTTTTTGTTATCATTATAAAACATTTAATACTACCAAACTAAGCCTGAAAAAAGGATCACTAGGTTAGGCTAATTCCAGGCTCCTCACGGAAATGCGCACCATAATTTACTATCAACATACCTTATCAATTATTAATACGAGTGATGATAAGCACTTGTCCAAAAACTGTCCGAGGGATATTC